GCGCCCGGTATTTTTGATAATAGCGGTCATCAGCGGCTTCTGAGCCGCTGATGACAGCTATTAATTTAAAGGGGACAGTCTGCTGAACAGTTATACTATAAGCTGATGGTCGCTAAAGCGACCATCAGCTTATAGTAGAACTGTAAATGCCAGGTCCGTATGGCATACTGACCTGGCCAGCTGGAAGCACTTTTGTAGGTCCTTATGCCATACGTCCTTGGCAGCGAAAGGGTTAATCATGTGCAACCCAAAATACTGGTTTTATTGTATTTTCCTTGCATGTTATTGGGTGTTCTTTGCAAATGTTCACCACATTCACTAATCTAAGGAAAATGTCCTTGCAAAGTGAGCATTTTATTTACCTTTAGTAAACCAACCCCATCTTGGCAGTCAGTACATGCAGTTGTCAGGTGAGCTATGGATGCATGATGTGCAGTTATAACAGTGCCACCCAAACAACATGAACTGTCCCCCGAGATACTCCAGATGAGTGAGTCTGGGCTTTTATGCATTATTGATCTACTTGTGGATGGTTCTGATAAGTCACATTATCAGGGCTTGAAAAATTTTAGGGTGTCTCGCCAGTCAGTCAAACATGTCACCAGTCAGCATGACAGGACTATAGCCTTGTATTTGTTAACATTTTTTTAGGGACACATAGAGCTTTCTTTTGGTGGTATATAATCATCACTGGGGTTTTTATTTTTTACTATATAATGAAAAAAGTACCGTCAATTTAGAAAAAAAAAATGGACACCAAACATGTCAAGCTTTAAAATTGCGCACGCCCGCAAAATCGCAAAAAATAACCAAACTGAAAATTGGCCATACTGGGGGATCGAAGCTAATACAAGCAATCGGGCATCTCTAGGGCTATAAGCTCCTCATCGGGCTCCGGCATCCTCTTGTCACAGACGAGAGGACGAGTGGATTTTTCAAGCTCTGCACATTATAGAGGTCTTCTCATAGATAGATAACATTTGAAAGCTTCAGCTTCACATGATCAGTAACGACCCTGTCGCCAGCATTGTAGGCTCACGCTGTGTCTGTAATGACTGATGTTCACATACAGAATGGGATCCTGCCACTTTACACAGAGATCTGTTACATAAATTGAAGAAAATCAGGCTGTGGAATTTCCTTCAGGAACTAGGTCTCTGAAATGTTAACTCACCAAATTGTTGATGAACAGGTCACCACAGACTTGAAGTGCAACTGAAGCCAAAACTTTTTTTTAGTTTTGGAGTAGAAAGGGAGAAGTCAGTAGAGAGGGGCACCTGTCAGGTTTTTTTTTAAGTATGTGTCCCTGTCAGGGATATTTACCCTCTCTATTTGTCCTGGTGACTGTTATCACTAAAAGTGAAAGAAAATCCCCAAATTTTGGGTTGTCATCATAACAGGAATAAATGGCAAAACTTTCAGTGAGGACCGTATTTTTGATGACCCTGCTGCCGCTCTTTGAAGGGTGGGCACCGCTGTCAGAATACAATGCACACATCAGGAGATTCATTCATCCACACTGTTAGCATGGATGAAGAAATCTGTCAGATTTTTTTCGAGGCTGAACAAAAAAAATCTCTCCATGTGTGCCCAGCTTTACTTCAAAACTAAAAAATCTTCTCATAATAGAGGCTTTTCGTCAGAAGAAAGCAGACTGTGCACAGTTTCTTCTTAAAGTGTATAGCCTCACCTTTATGGCCCCTTCAAACCTTTGTATTGTGATAACGTTCATTGCCACAATGCACAGTAACACATGGAACAATCCAGAACAGCATGCTAACGCACAACTGCAGTAGGTGCCAGTGCACTTGTGGATGGGCTTCCATAACACAACACACAATAATGTGTTATTGCACATTCTGTACCATGCTGGAAAGGACTACAAAAGTCTGAACAGGGTCTTTTTCTACAGGACCTCCATGCTAAAAGGAAAATGTCCTGCACGCTGCTTAAAATAATTTTAAAAGTTATTTTCAGAATTTTTAAATCTTTAGCTTTCATGAAATGATACCTGGTGATCCTGCCGTTAAGTGTGCAGACACTTCTTGTAACAGTCCCTTACTCCCAATTGTTTGCTGCATTGTAACCATCTCACACACACTTCCAGTCTACACTTGTGGAAAGACATTGCACAGGCATGGTCTGCTGTTGTCCCCATCAAAATACCTGCCCAAAGAAATGACGTGCAACGATTGGTGGAGTGCATGCATATAGGCAGGATGTGCAAGGATATGCAACAAAGTATAAAAAAAGCGCGATAACAGTATTTCTTAATCACACATTAAGGGACACAGGATGTAATTCAGCTACATAGGGTTTTGCTGCTGCCTTCAGAAGATTGCAAACAAAGCTGTAAGCACAGCCTAGTATTACCCCTCTCATTTCCATCATGCCTCAGTTTGTGAGTGCCCTAGCAGAACGGATGTTTTTTTTTTGCTCTGAGAAAAGCAAACCAATTCATATGTTTTCTGCTTTTATCAAGTCATTTTTCTCTTCAGCAAGATTCTTTAGTTCTTGCACAGCCACTGGAGCTCATCTTGCAGTTTTCTAGATCTGCTAAGGGGTTTACTCAAGAGCACTGGCTGGGACACTTTGGGTTGCAAGCCAGTAGCAGGAAAAGGTGCAACTCCATTTTTTAAATTGATGCTATTACTCTAGGGCATACTGCCTGTCTGCACATCCTCTATCTCAGGGGTTACACTGTGTATGCATGCTTTACCTATTCCTCTGCAGCACCCACCCTACATTCCTCAGGATGTGTATTGGGCTCCCTGCTGCCTCCGGTGACAAGGTCACAGATGGCAATAACCCTTCCTGCTCCCGCAGGTGTGCGTATCCCATCCTCACTTACATACATTAGTATGGTGGCCCATAAGCACAAGGGCAGTGGTCTCACAGGCCTTACCACCTTATGATCCACTAACAGTTATGGATTGGTTTGCAATGGATCCTTTTGAGGATCTAACAGTAAAAGCCCAAACCACTGTATGCTGCCTGAGTTGCAGCACTCCTCAGAGTCTTCCTTAACCTCTGCCTTTTTATGCAGAAAGGTATTCTGAGCTACTATGTCTGAGTTTATGGCAGAAATCTCTTACTTGTTAGCTGACTCAGAACGCAGGGGCCACAACGCGCATCTGCGCCTATCCAAAGATATGTACTGGGATCCTGAATCAATCCCAATGGATCCCACTGTCCTCCAGCAGCTTGAGCTCATGCCTATGTCCCTACTCTATTGTATTGATGGGTTGGTAATTATTAAACACCTGATATCCTGAATGAGTTTCCTTTTGGTTCAGTACTGTTGTGGAGGAGCCTTTGGCTAAAATGCCTGTCTGCACATTCCCTTTGAGGGGGAAACATCTCTTTGGTGAATTCCTAGATACCTTTATTAAGGACTTCTGCAGGCGGGAAGAGCACCATTTTACCCCAGCAAAGAAGCCTAGGCCTCAATCCGAGAAACTCTGTACCTTGGAGGCTTAGAAGAGTTCCTTTCAGTTCTTCTAGACCTCCAAATCCAAGTCAAAGCCTGGGAATCCATTCCGCTGTAAGTCCTGGACTTCTCCTGGACTAATTTTGAGAATCCTTCTCAAAATTAGGGGGTGCCCCCATTTGTCAAAGTGAAGGGACATCTATTGGCTTTTAGGATCACCTGGTCCAAAGACAATTCAGTAGTTTGGGTCCAGAATGTGGTTTTCGGGGGCTACAGCTAAATACATTTAGTTGCTGTGCTAATAAAAATTGTTAGTGTGCACCAACCAACAATTTTGTAGTGTGCATTAAGCCTCCAGCAGAAAAAGAAAAAAATGGAAAACATATGTCCTCAATTTTTTTTGCTGGTTGCTTGAGAGTGCTGGTTGCTT